CCCCCGTCCCCCGCCGGCTTCAAATTGCGGCTGGATTAACTGGCTTGGGCCCCGCCAGCTGGAACAACTTGCGTGGTTGTTCAGACAACCGGATCACCTGCATCGTAATTGCAAGCGGCGTGAATAAAGTTTTTTGCAACCAATAAGTTGTGTCTGCCTCTCCATTCACCAGCCCGCCCTAACGTACGACCAATTTCTAACGCAACTCGAGTCGGCTCTGGCCGTCCGAGACATGCCCCAGCAAGTCTGTCTGCATTATGACTCTCCACTGCTCTGGCATTTCTTTCTTACAGCAAGATGAGAATTAAGAAACTTCCATTGCTGAATCATTCTTGATTTTTCAGTTAGAAATGGATTTGATAAGCTCTTTTAAATATTACCACTTCCTTTTTAATAGGATCTACCTCAGTTAATTTATATTGGATTCTCTCTGTCATTTTGCAAAATAGTCTACTGTTTCCAAATATAGCAACCTCCTGTTTCATGACCCCTTCAATCAGGACATTAGTTTTCTCCTGAGAAAATTTTAACTGGCCTCTGGCATGATAACTGGTCTGTTGCTTTGCCTTGTGAAATGTCCTGTGTGTTTCTACTACCCTTTGTAGACCACTTTAAAAAGCAGGAAAGAGGTAAAAAAATGTTATGTATTGCAAGTTAATACCTTAATGGGTAAGACCTAAACTATGCTACCCATGGCCTAGAAGTCTGATTGAGGGGAAAAAAATGTACTAAAGCAGGTATGTACTAGTGGCACATGCATGTCATGTTAAAAGCTTGAAGTAGCCTAACACCTGATCCCTGACTTGTTAACAACATCGTTAGAGAGTAATAGTGGGTGAATAGGTCACTATATTTGAATAATCACAACATTAGCCCTGAGAGGAACAGGAAAACAGATGGCAAAGCAAGAGAGGCAGTGGTCTCCCAGAGTCAAGAAACATGCACCAGCACAGTTAAGGTATCACCTTAAACATCAAAGTTATGCTGATGCACAAGGCTACTGCTTTTTTCACACCTTATTTCAATATGAGTGGTATATTTTGGTTTAGCTGAATTCACTGAGTTAACAGATCTCACTAAACTGATATGCCACTTTCCCATTGAAATAAGTGTGTGGCCCAACTTCTTATGCTAGCCCAGAGACAGATTTCAGTTACATGGCTGTATCTATTTCTTTGTGGAAGTCAGCCTTCAGTGAAAGAAAAAGAAGAGGTATCTGATGAAAAAATTGAAGTCACAATAAACTGGGATGCTATCTGAATCTTTCCTCCTATGTTAGGGAACTGGAGCAAAGACCTCATCAATGTATATCTTGGTTAATTAGGCAGATTAGCTGGGAAATATCTGACAGATATAAACACAAAGAAGGGAGTTTATTTATTTATTTAGTTAGTTAGTTAGTTAGTTAGTTAGTGGTGCAAGGAGTTAAAAGCTGGCTGAAAACCAGAAAACTCTCTCACAGTGAATTGCACAAAGCTTCACAGAGAAACAATGTTAGATGTATCACCTGGAACTTCTTAACCTAGTCTGGCAAGAAATATAATATTTATGACATACAACATGTGCCTTTTGCCAAAAATCATCTTCTGGAAATTGGAGAGTGCATTATATTTGAGAAATATGGTAAAACCAATTCTGCCATTTACCAGGCAAAAGCAAAAGAAAAATCTGTACATGATCTACAGAGAACAGAACAATGAGCAGGCTTGGTTCCCTAGGTGCTGCTACTTAGCTTCTTACTACAAGGAAACATTTTTTTTTCTTCTTTCCATTCTTCAAATAAATGTGTCTCTTATTCCAGGATAGGTCGCATGGACAAGAATATGGGCATACCTTGTAGTGAACAAAATGTAAAGAAAAAAAAAAAAAAGGAATGAAAATTTTCGATCCCTTCATTTGGTTTCATCCATACCTTGTTCAGCAAACAGAATTTATTCTGATATTAAAAAGTACAGCCTTACCTTATTTTTTTCTATTCATAAACCCATTGAGTATATATATTACATGTTGTGACTGTTAAACATTAGGCTATGCTCCCAAATTCCAGAGAGCTAGCTTTGTAGCTTGTCAAAACTTGACAAAACTTCTTTCAGCTGGTCCAGTAGAAGGCATTGTCTCTCCTACTTTTTATGCATCGCATTTTAGATCTTGTACTGTAACTCCCCTTCATATAATCAAATCTATGAAAAAGAATTATGTACAAACTAAGGCATGTGCAGACATTCTGGAGATCCAATGTATGATCACATGATGCTGGGAGCCACTTTGGAAACACAATCTTAGTAAATTAAGGTGGGGGGAGGGGCAGGTAGGATCAGGGTGTCCGAGCTACTCCACAGGGGAGGGGTTGCAGAGGGGGGATGTTTGGCAGGATCAGGGAGGCTGGTGGGTTCATAAAGGGTATCCAGGGATGAGGGAGGGGAGGTCAGAGGGGTAAAGATAACCTGGTGGGCAGGGGTAAGGAAAGTGTAGTCCCAGGGCTGGGGCAAATGGCTGGATTTTCCCAGCCCCAGGGCTGCCCTCCAAATGTGTACAGATTGACCTACATAGTACACCTCCTTAAGTGAAATAAGATCATGCCAAACATTTTTTGCCTAATTTAAACTCTTCTAATGTATGTAGAGCTCAGCACTTAGATCAACCTAACCC